CCACAGACTCCTAAGTGCACCACTCACCCTTTTCCCCTCATCAATTCTATGATTCACCTTATCTTTCATAGACCCATCCGCTGACACGTCCACTCCCAAATATCTGAATACATTCACCTCCTCCATACTCTCTCCCTCCAATCTGATATCCAATCTTTCATCACCTAATCTTTTTGTTATCCTCATAAGCTTACTCTTTCCTGTATTCACTTTTAATTTTCTTCTTTTGCACACCCTACCAAATTCATCCACCAATCTCTGCAACTTCTCTTTAGAATCTCCCAAGAGCACAGTGTCATCAGCAAAGAGCAACTGTGACAACTCCCACTTTATGTGTGATTCTTTATCTTTTAACTCCACGCCTCTTGCCAAGACCCTCGCATTACTTCTCTTACAACCCCATCTATAAATATATTAAACAACCACGGTGACATCACACATCCTTGTCTAAGGCCTACTTTTACTGGGAAATAATTTCCCTCTTTCCTACATACTCTAACTTGAGCCTCACCATTCTCGTAAAAACTCTTCACTGCTTTCAGTAACCTACCTCCTACACCATACACCTGCAACATCTGCCACATTGCCCCCCTATCCACCCTGTCATACGCCTTTTCCAAATCCATAAATGCCACAAAGACCTCTTTAGCCTTATCTAAATACTGTTCACTTATATGTTTCACTGTAAACACCTGGTCCACACACCCCCTACCTTTCCTAAAGCCTCCTTGTTCATCTGCTATCCTATTCTCCGTCTTATCTTTATTCTTTCAATAATAACTCTACCATACACTTTACCAGGTATACTCAACAGACTTATTATTATTATTGTTAGATTATTATTACAGATAATGAGAAAAAGAATACATATACACCTATGGGTTTTCACATGGTTGTGGTTGAGAGATTTGCTTAGTGTATTAACCCTTTGACTGTTTCTGTAGTATACATACGTCTTACAAGCCACCGTGTTTGATGTATATATACTCATAAATTCTAGTGGCTTCAAATCAAGCAGGAGAAAGCTGGTAGGCCCACATGTGAGAGAATGGGTCTGTGTGGTCAGTGTGCATGATATAAAAAAATCCTGCAGCACGCAGTGCATAATGAGAAAAAAACTTCGACTGTTTTTTTTTTAATTAAAATGCCGATTTTGTGGTCTATTTTTGTATAGTATTTATGGTTGTATTCTCGTTTTCATGATCTCATTTGATAGAATGGAAAACATATTATAGAAATAGATGTGATTTTAATTGGTTTTACTATGAAAAGAACCTTGAAATGGAGCTCAAAGTAGGGAAAATGTTGGATTTTTGCCGATGTTCAAAAGTTAACAAATGATGTCATTTTCTAATAAATGTCCAAGTAGCCATTCTAATATGCAGTCATGAATGGGTTGACATTATTTATACAATTATTACAATATTGCAGTAGTCGGCATAACAGTAAATCTTCTATTTTTTGTTTGAATAAAAATTCAAAATAGAAAGCAAGAGTAATATCAGAGGGGCCTGGAGACATGACTGATGAACAAAGAAAATGTTATTTTAGAGCCAGGAATGTCTGCATTGTTCATTCTGGACCCTATTTTGAAATTGTCATATTTTTTATTTTTTGTAAAATTGGCCAAATTGCAAATTTCTGACCACGTTATTGGGTAGTTGAAATCAGTAAATGGGCAGTTTCTTGTACTCAGTTGATAGAAAAAATGGAGTTCTAAAGAAATAGCTATGAGTTTGGTCGGCTGGAACAATGGAATTAGCCGAAAATAGGGCTCAAAGTGGGCGAAATTGCCGATTCGTAAATATCACAGAGGTTGCTAACTTCGCGAGAGCGTAATTCCGTCAGTTTTCCATCAAATTTCGTTCTTTTGGTGTCATTAGAATCGGGAAAAGATTCTCTATCATTTCATAAGAAAAAAATTTTGTTTTTTTGGGGGGGAATTATGCAACACCAGGAGACACCTCAGGATTTGGGGTTGTGACAGTCAAATGGTTAACACATTTTTTAGCAAATCATATTACACATTTATCAGGTAATAAGAATAAGAATATATAATATTTCATGTGTTTCTGGTAAAGAATATAAGATAATGTAGTTTTTTCATATGTTTGCAGTTGAGAGAAATGTTTAGCATATTAACATATTTTTAACCCATTTATCATATTTGGTTGTTGTTAGGTTATGTATTAGGGAATGGAGGTGTTTTTTTACAGTAGTTTTGAAAATCCTGGCAGATGGAGAGGTTCTGGAGATTTTTGACAGGGAGTTTCAGATTTTGGGTCCTTTTATGTACATTGAGTTTTGACAAAGATTAAGCCAAACATGGGGTATATCATAGAGATTTGTGTGTCTAGTATTATGTCTATGGGTTCTTTTGCAACTATCAAGGAAGTTCTTCAGATCAGGATTAAATTTAGAATTTGTTGTTCTGTATATGTAGAATGCGCAGTAGTAAGAGAGAATGTTTTGTATGATAAATAGGTTTAGGTCATTGAAGAGTTGGGGAGTATGTTGTCTGGAAGTAGACTGAGTGATCATTCATACAGTGGCCTTTTGTTGAATTATTATTGGCTTGAGGTGATTTGCTTTTGTGGATTCCCAGGTACAAATAGCATAAGTGAGATAGGGGTAGATCAGTGTGTTAGTGCTGTTTGAGGTACATAATAATGTATCATGGAGAGAATGCCAACTATTTTGAACACATTTTTTGTAAAGTGTTGGATGTTAGTGTTGAATTTCAAGTTGCTGTTAAAGAACATTCCCAGAATTTTTTCTTTATTATGTTTAGTAATAGAGTATTGCTGATCATAATGTTTAGTTGAACATTACTTGCTCTGCTTCCAGACATAGTGTAGAAGGTCTTGTCAGTGTTAACCCTTTCAGGGTCCAAGGCCCAAATCTGGAGTCACGCACCAGTGTCCAAGAATTTAAAAAAAAAAAATTTGTTATTTTTTCTTATGAAATCGTAGAGAATGTTTTTGTGAAGGTAATAAAACAAAAAGTACGAAATTTGGTGGAAAATTGACGAAATTATGCTCTCGCGAATTTTGATGTGTCAGCGATATTTACGAATCGGCGATTTTGCCGACTTTGACTCCCATTTTAGGCCAATTACATTATTCCAATCAACCAAATTCTTAGCTATTTCACTAGTATTACTTCTATTCTATCGATTGAGCACAAGAAATCGCCAAGTCAGCTGATTCAACTACAAAATAAAGTGATCGGAAATTGTTAATTTGGCCAATTTAACACAAAGTTCAAAGTATTCCAATTTCAAAATAGGGTCCAGAATGAACAATGTAGGCATTCCTGGCACTAAACTAACATTTCCTCTGTTCATTAGTTATGTTTTGAGGCTTTACAAATAAATTCCATTTTGATTTTTATTCACATAATGAATTTTTATTCACACCAAAAAATAGAAAAATTTACTTTTTATGAAATACTGTAATAATTGTATAAATATCATCACCATATTTGTGAATGTATATTAGACCCACCAACTGACGTGTATTAGATGTGTGAGGTCGTTTGTTTACTCTTGAATATCAGCAAAAATTTAACATTTCCGCTACTATTGAGCTCAGTTTCAAGCCATTTCCAATGCTAAAACCAATCAAAATCATCTCTATTTCTGTAATATGTCTTCCATTCTATCAAATGAGACCAAGAAATCGCAAATACAACTATAAAAAAACTACGAAAAAACACTGCAAAGTTGCTGTTTTAATCGAAAAATCATGATTTCATTTTTTTTCTCTCATTATACACAGTGTGCTGCAGGATCTGTTTTATGTGGTGCACACATACCACATAGATGTATTCTCTCATATCTAGGCCCAAATGTACCACTCACAGTTTATCAGAGTGAGCTGAGCTCATGGCGTAGATCTACGGTTTGGACCCTGAACGTAAAGCCGTAGATCTACGGGATGGACCCTGAAAGGGTTAAGTGTGAGTTTATTGGTAATCATAAAGGTTGATATTTTCATGAGCTCTTCATTAACAGTGTTGTTAGGGGATGCAAAATTTGGATGGGAGATGATGAAAGTTGTGTCATCGACAAAGAGAACAAGTTTGAGTTGCTGTGATGCATTTGGAAGATCATAGATGTATAAGAGGAAAAGCAGAGGGCCAAGGACACTTCCCTGTGGAATGCCAATATCCACAGATCTTGCAGAAGTTGTACCCTTGAAGATTGTATATATGTTTGAGGGTCGAAACCTCACTACATCCAACTAGGAATGCTAGGAGTGACATCTTCAATGTAAACTGCCAAAAACTTTATTAATATTGACAAATTAAGAGCATGTAACCTAATTTTTCTCATAACTTGTTTACTCCACACTTTGCATTTTCATCTATAGCTCTGTATTTCTGGAATGAAACCAGCACAAAATGTGGTTGTCCACTTTATATAAAAAAAGAAGTCTTATAGCCACTTAACAGAGGTTTTAATTTCATGTGTGACTACTGTCAACACTGGGTAAATGTAAATAAAAATTACATTATCTTAGTTTGCAATCATTGTGAACAGAAATCACAGTTCAAATGACTCCAAATTGCAACATCCCCACCTATAATTTGTAGTGCAGGCATTGTACTTCTTACCTCTGGGACTCAAATCTGGCTAACTAGCTTTCCTGAATCCCATCATAAATGTTTCCCTGCTAACATTCAAACAACATGTCAGGCCACAAAAAAACCCATGTCTTCACTCAGATCTAACACACTCACACAAGTGTGATGGGTGCTCAAGCCTCTAACACTCAAAAAACACCTTAATCCCCTCCATGTAACCCTTCCTAGGATGACCCCCTACTCCTCCTTTTGTCTACACCAGCTCTGTATGTACACCCTTTTAGTCATCAGCTTCTAAATGCCCAGACCACCTTAATCAGCCCTCTAAATTAAACTTTGGTTAACCTCCACACTGTGGGGGTTCTTTTCCATCATTTCATTCATTTCTTATACTTTACAATGACATTTTACAGGATATTACGTGTACGTTTCAAGGAAAAATGCAGAACCATATCAGTTGGCTAGTCTTGTGGTTGACTACCTGTACCCAGCCTCTGAGAATGTGTGTTATATTCGATTCTGGTATTACATGCATGCAGATGCTGACATTGTTTCCTCTAATGTTGATGTGGGAACTCTAAGGGTGAACCTGGAGGGTATGTTGATCTTGGAGGATATCTTGCTGTGCTATCCCTTATATTCCAAAATGTGTCTTTTATGTATTATATATTATAAATGATACAATATGTCTTATAAAAAATGTATGAAAACTGACAAATCAAAGAAATATACTGTAAAGTGAAATTTATAGTCCTTATTTTTAATTTCTAATAGTGAGGAGTGGTCAGCGAATTACTGCAGTGTCTATCAGTGGTAATTATGATGCTCTGTGGAGGACGAAAGTGGTATTAATCAACATGGACAAAAGTTATACTGTGTTCTTTGAGGCTGAAACTGGAATGTCTAAATACACTTATATTGCCTTAGATGATGTCTCTTTCACTCCTGTGAGTTTGTTACTGAAAACTCGTATTGTATTTTACTACATAGTCATGTGTTTGTGGTAATAGAACATATATAAAAATATACAATAGCATGTTTGCATACTGTTATCATAAAAACTTGTTATATAGTTTTAGTAGTGACTGCCTAATCATTATATTTAATTAATTTTTAGGAATGTAAAACTGGTGTTGGCCCACCACCAATCAACAGCTCTTGTGAGCTTGATGAGCTGAAGTGCAAGACAGGAGAGTGTGTTCCTGCAGCTTTCTTCTGTGACTGCTTTGCAGACTGCATTGATGGCTCTGATGAAGTTGACTGTAGTATGTATCCAGGTAATGTCATGCTAACATTTAAGAATCTTGGGAAAAGTGAGTGAGGGTATTTCTAATGACGCCCATGTAATGCATAGCATTCCTAACAGATAATTATACTAATTAGGAAAAGCATTAAGTCCTTTCAAGACAAGGAGAATTGCAGACCTGGAGAATATACAGAGAACTTTCACTACACATATAAGTACAATAAAGCACCTTAATTACTGGGAATGATTGAAGTCCCTTGACCTGTACTCCTTGAAATGCAGGTGAAAAACATGCATCATAATTTACATTTGAAAAATCCTAGAAGGACTAGTCCCAAATCTGCACACAGAAATCGCTGCTTCTCAGCATATCTATTTTATTTATTTATTTATTTGCAAGTAGTACATAGAGATTATGTATTTACAATAATGGGTTGCATTGCAAAGAGAGCCTCTATTATGCCTAGGCATTACACATAGCTGTCTTCATGAGGGAGCTGGACAGGTATCTAAAGTCAGCACCTGACCAGCTGGACTGTCGTTTATACGTTGGAGTCCATGCAGCCAGCCATAGCAGCCTGGTTGATCAGACTTTGATTCACTGTGAGGCCTGGTCATGGACCAAGTATACAGTTCATTACTATAGTGCTATTGACAAGTTATTGATATATTGCTTGCATAAGACTAGGAGGTATAGTCATGCAAAAATAGATTCAGTCATTGCCTAATCTGAAAAGGACATCCTCGTATCCTACAAACCCTTTCACGGTCCGTGCCATAGTGCTACAGCTTTGAGCTCAGGGTCTGTACTGTAGTACTGTGTGTTGAGTTCAGGTCACTCAAATAAGCAGTGAGTAGTAAATTTGGGCCTAGATATGAGAGAATGGGTCGACGCGGTGAATGTGCGCCATATAAAAAAATCCTGCCCCACGCAGTGCATGATGGGAAAAAACTGTAACCATGTTTTGTGGTTTAAAATAGTGACTTTGAGGTGTATTTTTGGATGGTTTTATGGTTGTATTTGCAATATCATTTAATAGAATGGAAGATATATTACAGAAATATAGATAATTTTGATTGGTTTCAAAACTGGAAGTAGCCTGAAATTGAGCTCAAAGTAGCAAGAATGTTCCATTTTTGTTGACATTCCAGAGGACACAAATTACATCACTCATCCAATACACGTCCAACTGGTCAGTTTAATACATGTTCACAAATGTGCTGACACTGTTTATATAATTATTACAATAATGCAGTAGTCTGCATGATAGTAAATCTTCTATTTTTTATTTTTTTTTTTTTTGTAAATAAAAATTAAAAATGGAAAGCAAGTGTAATATAGGAGAGGCCTGGAGATGTAACTAATGAACAGAGGAAATGTTTTAGTGCCAGGAATGTCTACATTGTTTAGTCTGTGCCCTGTTTTCAAATTGGTAATTTTTTAATTTTGTGTGAAATTGGCCAAATTACCAATTTCTGATCACTTTATTGAGTACTTGAAATAGTTAAATTGGTGGTTTCTTATACTCAGTTGATAGAATGGAAGACATACTAGCAAAATAACTATGAATTTGGTCAACTGGAACTATGGAATTGGCCTAAAATAGGACTCACAGTGGGCAAAATCTCAGATTCTTAAATATTGCCAAAACTTCTAACTTTTGTGAGAGCTTACATTTGGTTTTATTACCTTCAGAAAAAGATTCTTTATAATTTCATAAGATTTTTTTTTTTTTTTTTTAACCCTTTGACTGTTTCAGGTCCCTCTCTGAAACTGTCATTCTATGTCGCCAAATATTCAAAAAAAAAAAAAATTATTTTTTCTTATGAAAATGTTAAGATTATTTTTCTGAGTGTTTTAGTCCAAAAAAAAAATTTTTGCCATCGGTACTTACCGAGATATAGAGCCATGAAGTTTGCAGAAAATGAGCCGCGTATGGCAACAGCGGCGACTGCCGCTCACCCGGTAAACTTTAGTTTACTTGTAATTGAAGGTTTTTTGTTTTTTTCCACTATTTTATTTTTTCACATAACTTATGTGGCCTATGAGACCAAAGTAAGGTGCAATGTATATATATACACCGTTGTATACAACACAACAAGCACACAAACATAATTATCAATATTTTGTTTACAAAACTTGTTTACAAAAACAAACAAACAATTCTTCTTCTTCTTCCTCTTCCTCTTCCTCTTCCTCCTCTTCCTCTTCCTCCTCCTCTTCCTCCTCCTCTTCCTCCTCCTCTTCCTCCTCATCTTCCTCCTCCTCTTCCTCCTCCTCTTCCTCCTCTTCCTCCTCCTCTTCCTCCTCCTCTTCCTCCTCCTCTTCCTCCTCCTCTTCCTCCTCTTCTTCTTCTTCCTCCTCCTCTTCTTCTTCCTCCTCTTCTTCTTCTTCCTCCTCTTCTTCTTTTTCCCTCCTCCTCCTCCTCCTTGTGTGCGAGTGTGTGGCTTATAATTGTTTTGAGTCAGGAGTCGGCAGCTGTCAAAGTGACATATTGTGTCATTAGTCACTACCCTACCGCCTGTCAAAACAATGGGGTCGGATGCTGCTTCCCCTCCTCCATTCTATCTAATTATCTTTCTCCCTCATTTTATATCTTTCAATCTGTTCTCTCTTCTATCTGTCTGCCTATCTCTGTCTCACAGGTACACATAAATACAAGTATACATAGTGTAAATTACTAGGATAACCCAAGAAATCCAGACAAAGTGCTATACTCTGCTTGAAGATGTGAGTAAACGTGATGAACACAGTCTTGTGGCTCTCTCTGAGACAGAGAGCTAGATGGACAGACAGGGAGCTTGACAGACAGACAAATAGACAGACAGAAATGTTTGTGTACCAGCAAAAACAAAGGGAGGGCAATGGTCATGTAATATTACCCTCCTTTACCCTCATCAAAGTCAGCTCTTATCAGATGTTATCTCCCCTTATCTTGTCACTGTCATGGGGTGGACTTTTTTTTTTCTTGCTTCAAGGGAACAATATTATTACATCTTCTTCTTCCTCCTCCTCCTCCTCCTCTTCTCCTCCTCCTCCTCCTCCTCCTCCTCCTCCTCCTCTTCCTTCCCTCCTCCTCCTCCTCCTCCTCCTCCTCTTCCTCCCCTCCTCCCCCTCCTCCTCTCCATTGCTTTTGGTCTCAAACTCCTCCAAATCATGAAATTGATCTTCACTGACACTTCCATCTGTGTTAGAGCATCACTTGGGAAGAGAAGAGTCCCAGATTTGCTGGGGAATCACATATTTCTTACCGCTAGACATGCTGAAAAATGACAACTGAAATGGCATTCCCACAATGCACCACTGGCTCCCCGATTTTTTTTATATGGTGCACACTGACCATGGAGACCCATTCTCTCACATGTGGGCCTACCAGCTTTCTCCTGCTTGATTTGAAGCTGCTAGAATTTATGCGTATAAATACGTCAGAAACATTGGCTCGTAAGACGTATTTATACGTCGGAAACAGTCAAAGGGTTAAATTCTTGGACCCAGAGAGCAATTTTGAGATCAGAGGTCTGCAACCTGAAAGGGTTAATAAGATTGGCAAAGTATCCTAAAAATTGCATAGCTCAAAATAAATGCTAAACATCCTTTTGAAATACACCAGTGCTACATGTTTGAAGCTAACCAGAAAATGCATTTTCAAATTATAAAACAGAATCCAGTACATAATTGCAAGTTTATTATGTAGGTAAATTGGTAAATTTGCACCTACACAGCCTAAATATACACAGTATCATTCTTTTCATTGGATGCACCAGCTATTAACCCCTTGACTGTGGCAACCCCCAATCCTGAGGTGTCTCCTGGTGTCGCAAAATTTCAAAAAAAAAAAAAAAAAAAAATTTCTTATGAAATGATAGAGAATCTTTTCCCGGTTGTTATGACACCAAAAAACGAAATTTGATGGAAAACTGACAGAATTACGCCCTCGTGAAGCTAGCGGCCTCGGCGATATTTACAAATCGGCGATTTTGCCCACTTTAAGCCCTATTCTCGGCTAATTCCATTGTTCCAGTCGACCAAACTCATAGCTATTTCTTTAGAACTCCATTTTTTCTATCGATTGAGTACAAGAAACTGCCCATTTACCAACTTCAACTACCCAATAGCGTGGTCAGAAATTTGCAATTTGGCCAATTTCACGAAAATTAAAAAATATGACAATTTCAAAATAAGGTCCAGAATGAACAATGCAGACATTCCTGGCTCTAAAATAACATATTCTTTGTTCATCAGTCATGTCTCCAGGCCCCTCTGATATTACTCTTGCTTTCTATTTTGAACTCTTGCTTCTATTTTGAACTCTGTGTAGTCTGTGGTCAATCAAACAAACGGGCTTCCACATGGATAAATTGTCATTTTTGTGGAAATTGGTGTTACGCTCCTTGTGCAGATATCCAAGAACTAGCTACAAGCAGTATTAAAACAGGGAAGTGTTTTTGGGTATGCCCAAATGAGATAAATCTGTGGACTAAAATCACAAGGGTATTAAAAGAGGACAACATCAAAGTTGCTTTCATAGAAAACCTGGAAGCTTTCTACAACAGATGGGAACATAAAAAGTCTGGGCTGAATGGTACTGCCCTTGATACTGGCCATGTAGTCAGAAACTGTAAGGCTGGAGGTGAAGTCCTGGTAGTCAGTAAATGTGGGGATGGTGAAGCTGGAGATGCTGTCCTGGGAGACAGTAATGGTGAAGCTGGAGGTGCTGTCCTGGGAGACAGTAATGGTGAAGCTGGAGATTTTGTCCAGGTAGTCGGGAATTATACGCAGGAAGAAATACATATAAATGACCTCATAGGGGACAGGAGCCGTAGTAGGGAAACAAGTGTAGTCAAAGATAAGATAAAACCAATATTGCAAACTAGAAATACCGCAGGAAATAGCAAACAAGAGGACTCCACTAGCAATAGTGAGGATATATTACCAAAAACAACTGGTGGGAGCTCCATTGTTGGTGCTAGGGAGGATAGGAGTAAGACAGGGAAACATGCACCAACAGGGAATACAGT